TCTGCTACTACTAATACATCCCCAGGTGGGTGTTACACAAAGATTTTAAATCGAACTTAACTCTAAGTTGGACTTAAAAGTTATGGAGAGCCATTTGTAGCATTCAAATGAAATATATTCAAAAGCGAACATTTAAGTATTTTAGACTTTTTATAAATTCCCCTTCAAAAACATAAAATCTCCCATGATAATATAAAATTTTAATGATTTGAATCAACATTTTATGCTTTTTTTAAATAACTTTGACAAAATATTTTCAAGATGCTAACGGCTTTTCAAAATTGTGAAGTCCAACTTAGAGATAAGTTCAACTTAGGATCTTTGTGAAACACCCCCCAGATCTCACAAAGACGATTAAAACCAAATTACATGTACTTGCACACATGAGCAGCAGGATAGGAAGCCGGTAAAGTGATGCAATTTGCAACATGAAAATGATACCATCTTCCTTTCCTCAGTCATCGTCGATTTGCGTTCATATGGATAATGACTTTATCACAGGTGTGAGGATCAGATAGATGACTAATACTAATTAGGGTGTGTTTACACTCTTCATGTTCCTGGACACTGTTCATATTATCCCCCTGGTTATTTCATTTTCGCTTGTTTTGCAAACCGGCGTAAATGCAGTGATGTTATGACGTATGATATGAAAAAGAAAGAAAGACATTTTAGGGGCAGCTACTTTGACTTTGGAATTAGGAAGAGGATGCAATCTTATTTTAGCTTCTCTGCTCATCTCTATTTAATTTTCAAAACAGTTTGGCAAATATCCCAGTTTAGGGGAATGACGGATCGGCACTTTACACGCCCCGAGTCTAATTGGACAAAGTCGGATGTTAAGTTTTAAGTTTTAAGTTGATCCTTCTTCACTGAAAGATGATGTGTTGTTTACTAATGTCAGCAGATGGCATTGCAAATGAGCCTACTTATGTAAAGGTCACACTGGTTACATTAAGGGTGTCAAAAAACAGGCATTACACATGTAGGCATCTTTTTTTTCTTTTTCCATCATAATTTCCCATCTACATGTATGTCTCTCTCATGATGCCCCCTCTCCTCAATACGTCATCATGAAACTACAAGATCAACAAGGACATCCAGATAATACATTAAATGGAAATAATGCACAAGAAAATTGACATTAGGGATAGGGGCCATCCACTACCCCCTTTTCAGTTTTCTGTTATAGATAGATAGATAAGTAGATAGATTTATAGATATAGATAGGATGGGAAATAGATAGATCGCTTAAATAGATTCGTATATAAATAGATGGGTAAATGAGTGCATTGATAGACAAATATATTAGATGTACAGTGTATATATGGATAATTATATAGATAGATAGATAGATAGATGAATGAATAAAAAAATAGATATGTTGGCAGGTAGATAGACAGACGAAATATTTGGGTAGGTGGATGCATAGACAGACAGATATATATAATTAAAGACCCGTTTAGTCACACTTAAAGTAACATAATTATGTTCTATGCGGTCACAAGCGACTTCCTTCCGCTGTATGCACGGAACATGACGTGTTTTATAACAAGTTGTTAAAAGACGTGCCAATTTTGTATCAAATTCACTTTCATAGGCCTTGAACACAATTCATTCAAGGAATTAGCTATTGAATTCACCTTAACTTATATTGAACAAGAATAACATATACAAATAAGGCACAATGTACATTTCAATATGAAGCGCTTTTTTGAGAGAAAATCAGTCTCTTCGGAGCTGATGTTTTAGAGGGTGTCCCGTCGCTAAACATTTTTTCCTCAAATTATATGGGAAGAAATTTTAAGACAACGTACTCGCCATGCTCGTACGTATGCAGTACGGATCAACGTTGTTCTGGTTTAATTTCGTCAAGCTCTAAAATAAATGCACGAATATTGTAATGAGCTTTTAATATCACACCTTAATACCCCCCCCCCCTTAACCCTCTTAAAATCAAGTAAGAAATAAAAGCACGACCTTATCAAAATAATTATTATACTAAATTTGGACAGTGTCAATGTTCTATGTTGAAAGCTGATTTCATCTAAGTAATTTTCATCATGGGTGGGAAATCTGGTGTTGAATTGATATCTGCGATGATTTGAAGCGGCGGCCCATGATAGTCGTTTACGATCTTCGAGCATAGACAGTGTCACATTGGGCGAAACATATCAGATAGTGTAAACGCTCTGTCTATGTTGAAAGCTATTTTAAGCTAATGTAAACGCTCTGTCTATGTTGAAAGCTGTTTCCATCTAATACCCCATTCACAGTGGTTTTGAAATTTGTAGCGGCGTTGTAGCGGAGCGGCGACACCGCCATAACACCGCTACAAATGCATTCACAGTAGAAAAATTATCCCGCTGCAGCAGCGGGATAAATATCATGTACCCATTCACGCTGCAGCGGGTGATTTTTATTACCTCCGTAACAAACACGTGTATGCATGGCTCATGACCCGCGAGTGACCCCGATATGACCGGAAATACTTCAGCGCGGGGTTTTAGGGTAAACATGTCAAGTTGCTTTTTGTATCCTCGATCATATTACTTTTTAAAAAACTAGCATTTTTATTGCTTCCAGTCAGAATATTTTAATTTTTTGAAGTGTGAAATATTTTTATTTGGATAATTATAAATCTACATAATAATAAAATCAATTTGAATCCACTGGTTACTTTATTTCTATTTCACTTTATGTTCCCCATTGCTGGAGAAAAGAGGTCAGTGATAGGTAAGTAAACAAATCACACGTGTTTGTCGCGGTGTTATAGCGGAGAGCCTTCACACTGAGTAAACACCGCGACAGCAGCGGGACTGTCCCGCTGCTGTAGCTAGGCGAGCCTAGCGATAGTTTGTCGCGGCGTTATCGCGAGGCGGTGTTATCCCGCGATAGTTTATAACGGGTCCGAGCCTTCACACTGAAGACAACACCGCGACAGCAGCGGGACAGTCCCGCTGCTGTCGCGGTGTTTGAGGCCACTGTGAATGGGGTGTAAGTAACTTTGATCGTATATGGGAAGTCTTGTGTTGAAGGGATATCTAGCTGCGATGATTTGAAGCGGAAGGTCCCTCATATTCGTTTAGGATCTTCGAGCAAAGACAGTTGTATAACATTGGGCGAAACATTGCTACATATATTTTTTCAGATAGTGTTAACGCTCTGTCTATGTTGAAAGCTATTTCCATCTAAGTAACTTCCATCGTATATGGGAAGTGTTGTGTTGAATGGATATCTGCGATGATTTGAAGCGGTAGTCCCTCATATTCCTTTAGGATCTTCGCAGAGAGACGGTGGATTAGCAGTGTAACACTACACGAGAAGAAGAGCCATCTATGGACAACGCTAGTCTCCGTTTATAACATTGAGTAGTTTAGACACAGGAGTGGGTGGGGCGCATGGGAATCACAGGGGGGGGGGGTGTCGGAGAACAATGATCTAACAAGAGTGCCATATTAATGCGAATTAACAAGATCACCGATTAGGATTAAGAATTTTCAGGAATCCAGTTTTAATGTTTCCCCTTTTCGGCTCTTCGCAATCTGCATTTGCCACTCTATACCCATGTGAAGAACGTGCATGAGTACGATGGGGAAAAAAATCAAATTCATGACCTTTGTGATAGAATTTACATGTAGCTCCCTCAGTTTCCATCTAATATAGACATTTAATGATAGGTTATTGAAACTTACCGTGCACATGCGCATTCAAGTATTCGCAACAACAATTTCGTAATATGTAACTTAATTAATGATTTCGATTAAACATTGATGGCACAATAATTATTATATTTATTTAGATGGGGTCAAGTTTCAAACCTCCGCTCTTGCTACAATATTATTTCACTCATTGAGCCTTGAGCCAAGGTCAACGTCACAAAGAAGCTAAGACTGTCCTCTTAACGATGCGTGTAATTAGTTGATAGGTTGTCTCAATCTAATAAATACGTGATGATGAGGTCAATTAAAATGACATAGAGTCTGGAAGGTTATTACCACAAACTGACTGCCGCTTTTGTTCTCGGCCGATGAAGTTAATTGCGGTCGTTAGTGGGAGTAGCGGGCGTGTAACTTCATTTTCAGGCTTAAGCCGTGCAGTCGATGGCTAAATTTAGGAGGATCTTTGACAGACTATACGCTTAAGATAACTTGAAGAAACTGGATGGTTATTCAATTACTATATCTTACAAGGCAGTATTATTTATAAACATTAGTAGTAGACGAAAAGAGAAAAAGGGCCATATTGAATTAACACGTAATTTTGCACTGAGTATAGGCGAGATAATTGTGTTGCAACGGATGACAAAGAAACCGACAGTTATTACCTAATTATAAAAAGTAAGCGTGTGTTCAATCTAGTACTCTAAAACCCTGCTTTTAACTAAATCCTGGGGAAAATATAAGGACAAGGAATAAGTACAAAACTACCCAATAAGGCTACTTCAGAACACTATTTTAGTTGAGGGCGGTGCCCCATTTGAACATTTGGTGTAGGATAACGAAGACTGAGGCCCCTTAGTGAGCCAATGTAACGTAAAAAAGACTAACCCCTGCCCCCTAATTTCAATAGAGCCTGTATGGATATACCACTTCATTTTACAACCTTTGCCGTGGTTATGTTGTAAATGATAAAGAAGTTAACATTTGAAGGAAAACAATTAAAGACAGCCTTCACTTTACATGCGTTATGTGCAGTTAATATGGGACCGAATGAAAGTCATGTCTTTAAATTTTTGCGTAACTTGCTCTTCTGTGCCTTCGTCACCTGCAGTGAGTCAGACATACTTTTATCCTTCACTCATATCCATCTCACCAAGTCAGATACTCATCTTCTGAAGATGAAGAAAGAAACTCCAACAGAACATTATGAAACATAACAAGGCGATGAGACACGTGACTCAGGCCGCTAGATTGCGAGCGAAAAACCGTATGGTTCCCGCGCGTTAAGCTCCTGACGACAGACGACAATTTGGCAGCCGCGCCGCGCGCTCTTCAAAGCCGTGATCAAGAATTAACCGAGCGCCAGGTTTCACTTCCAATGCTAAGACAACCCACGGACAGTTTACAGGCGGGGAACACAACCACCGTTATCATCGATTTTCTAACATGTTTCTTATTTTAATACATAGAGACATTTGTATCTAATTACAAGGTTAACGTGGCCATTTGGGTTCTGGTAGTACCGTTATTTGTGATCAGTTGTGAGAAAAAGACACTTGCAGAGTGCCGAAGTTTGACCAGTGTTTTGCGAGGAACCGTTATCTTGCTGTATTAACCATCACTTGCTCTGGATTTTACGGGTCTTTAAGCGGCGTGTCGATAGCTTGTCAAATGGAATTCTGTGATTACTGAAAACTGGAGACTTTCTTTCTTATTAGAGCTTGGCTCAAAGGTAAGTTAACCTACTTTTGTGTATTTGTTTATTTGTGTTTCGAGAGTCATTGTCGTCAAAACTGTTCTAATATTGATTACAAAATCTAAGATGTCACCTGACTTCAGTGACACCTGTTTGGCAATAGCTTCTGCACTTAAATTAATCAAGGCTACATTACTGAAGTTAAAAATGGATATAGAGAAAGAAAGATGGGAGAGGAAGATGGGAGAGAGAGCAAGAGAGGGAGAGAGAGAGAGAGAGAAAGAGAATAATGGTCATCTTTGTCTTATTGTTAATAGTTGTTTCACCTGTTAACGGGATCAAACTGTATAGACCGTTTTGCGTCATCAAACATGGAATAGACGTTGAGAATATTGGTTGTATCCTGTGCATGCGTCGAATTTCATGGATTTTGAACATCCCATCACTGTCTACAGTGTGGAGTTCAAATTGAATTAGTAGCTTGGAAAGTCAACAAACGGATACACATTATATTGGAAGGTCAATATATGTATTTCCTTTACTTTGCGAACATTTTATTATTCTTTTGTCGTAGGTTGATCACACTTCAAGAATCTGTATTATCATCACTTTTAACACGCATAAAGAGACAGCTCTGCATTATGTGCGCGCTATGATTGAATCACAACTTATTTGTCGTGTATGTTATTTTGGGAGTATATCAAATGAATGATCTTTCTGTGTTAATTATAAATCATGATATCAACGCACTCACAACGAAACCCCTCTAGAGGCATGCATAAGATTCGATTGTTTTTTATGGATCGTTTTGAGGAAGGATTGCCAGAAAAGTGTCAAAAACTTTCTGAAGGATCAGAAACAATTTTATCAAGAATCTCGTTAATACATCCGTCCATTCTTGAAATCACAACTTACTGATCCACCTTTATTTTCCAGGTCGCAATCATGTTTCACTTTCGACAATTTTTGGAGTTATTTTCTTGTCAGTCGGAGGATCTGTATGCCCATCAGATATATAGGCCTAAAATAGTTATTTCAACTAAAGTATTACTGTAATGAACAGTATAATTCGAGTATACCTTAACCAAGAATGTATGCATGCAACGCGATTGCAATGAATGTCAAGAAATCAACTTAACAATTATAATGTTAGTACTCAGTAATTTATTTTGAATTTGGAGTCATCTTCGGGTTACGTAATACATCTTTGTCATATTCGCATATTTTACGAAGGTGACGCAAATCACCTTTTTAAGCTTGATTTCGTGAAGGGTGGTCGTTGTGATTATTTAAAACTTGTATTCATAACGAGATCATTGAGCAAACAATATATTTATGAATTTTGTGTTCTATTAAATTGTTAAAATAGGTGACATTGACATGATTTTCATGTGTAAAAGTTTTCTGTTCCATTATGATTAATCATAAAAGATTGACACAATCTCAGTATAAAGCTGCCGTTTTTAGCATGTAAAACCCAATACACGACCCTAATATCTGAACTCTTACATGAACAATAATACATGAAAATCGACATTATTCGTGCAAGAATTTGAATGGAAAAAAAAATTGTTATCATTTTTGATGGATTAGTTCGTATTCCCCTTTTCACACATGGAATCTATTTTATAAACTTATTCCAAGCCCTATTTTGCTACCTGGGGAATAGCTGTTTCTTCGGTTGGAATACTGAACAGTCTAGAAAAGGCTATTTCTCGGCTTTCGGCCTATTTTTTTTTGTGATTACGGTCCATGAACGTAACATTCTCTCTGTAATTCATGCGATCCCTTTCCTCTCGCTTTTACACCGCAACTTAATTCTTTTTCGGATCGTTATACCAAAGCCGTTGATCTGCATAATACTTTAAGCCTAAACATTTATTTATAAAAAAGTGCATTACCACTATAATTAATTGGCAACACACAATATTGATACCTTGGTATGGCGTTGAATAGCTTCATAAATTAGACGTGGCCGCTGAAAAGGGGGAAACAATTTTTTATAACTTAGGGAGGGCCTATTGACCAAAAAAAAGCATCTGTTGATCTGTTTGTTATTCATGTCATATCTTATGAATCTATAGTTCTATATTCCTATAGGAGCCTGGACCTGTTGGTGATATATTTAAGCCTGGAACAAATCAATTACTATGGCGACACTATTGGCCTGTATAGTTACCACGGGGATTAGTATGTCTGTTTTAGGTAAGCTGTGAAATCGTGATGCATATGACGTGAGTAGTTGGAGGGTAGGCGATTTTATCATCCGAAAATACATCACCAAAATTGACATTGGGGGCTGCCCAAAAGAGTAATTGGGCAGTAAAGGATGATTTTACACGCGGCTGTGTGTGTCGGCATACCTTGTACAGACGTCAAGGTTGAAATATTCCAAGACCCTAGCCAAAATTCTCGCCAACATCCCCCGCCCCCCTCCCCTGGGATTTTGACCATATTAGTCATCATATTTATAATAACGTATGTATTTATTATTCATGGTGACCGAGGATATTTACCTTAGTTGAATACTGGGGAATATTTTATTATTTACTTTCAGTTGTTTTAGTTTGTCAGTTAGTTAGTTAATTCGTTCATTTATGTGTTCATTATTCATACATTTCTCTCTTTTTTCCATTCATTCATTTTCGGAGGTGGATGCATAAATAACAATTCAATCCTCAACTGCCCCTCTCACTTTCTCTCATCATAAACGTTCCAGGGCCTAATTTCTGTATTATCATATCAGTCATATCACCATGCCTGGTACGAGTTATTTAGGATTGATGTTAAAATATAACAGGGACATTTGAAAATTCAATCCCCAGATTGAATTACCTCGTCGAAGTGCTGTAATTCAGAAATAAATATCAATTGAGGACTCTATCCATATAAATTGATAGATGTAAGGATATTTGTGATAGCGTTTTGTTCATTTAATTTCGTTTATGTAATAAAGTTCCTCCAACTAAAAAAAAAAACACCGAGAAAATTGATATAATAATAATCAATGCACCTGTCACTTATTTGTACCTTAATATACCTTAAATACCACTTTGTTTGTATAATGTTTATAAAAAAAAAGAAAAATTAAGAATACTGAGAAAACTTTGTTATTATCGGCTCACGTATACATTTTTAGGATTTTGTTAATCCCCAATTCCAGTTTTTTTAAAACATCGTATAATTACAAACAATCTCCGTCGCTTGATCGCATTGCTCACTTACTTTAATGTTGATTAGACAAAGATTATGTAGTAGGTTGCTTGCGCTGAACATCTCAAACATGCATGCTTTGCTCCATCGCTTTGTGTTCAAAGTAAAGTATAAAGTAAAGTGCATGTACATGTAATTTTGGACGAGCCCAAACTACTAATTCTGCTTGTTGATCATAAGTATGCAAGCCTGCAGAACGTCGCTTCTTCGAATGTTCAATATCCTTTCTGGTAATATATGACACAAAAACTTCCCGCTCAAATTCTTAGTAGAATCTTGAAGGGTGGCCTCCAAGCAATTGGCCCCCAATTACGGCCATTATAACTAGCGCTGCATTTGGATGTGTTGCTCCCTAAATATCAACTTATTGGACGGATTTTGTCTAATCCTGCCAATTTGTGTGTGTGTGTGTGTGTGTGTGTGTGTATTGGGTTTTAACAGACGTGTATCAATCAGATATGATTATTTACGTCTGGGGACCGACCTTTAAACGTCACCATCCGAAAGACGTGATTCAGCTTCGAACCTGCGTCCTCGGCTGAATCAATTTGTAACTTCCACTTATAGCTGGATTACAGGCGCACGCCACAACGCCTAGTTTAACTCACGGGCATTAGTCTCCCAAGAAGGCATCTCCTATTATCAGTTTATTTCTCTAAACTCTTTGATGAAAAGATGTTCAGTATTCTCCAGGAAAATGCATTTAAGTGGAAAATTATTCCTTGAAATCAACGTTTTGAATGTCATGTCTTTAAAGATGTTAAATCGTAAAACAAAAAACAAAAAAATATTTGGGTTGATTTGTATTGAATTATAGCTTATAATCAGTCATGGAATGGTGTGTTCTATACTGCACCAATGACAGATACCAACTGAAAACCCACAAAAACATAAAGGTGGTTTTATTTCATGACCACAGCTAACAGTGGCTAAGATGGAAATTGGAAAAAGGTACTACTGAAATTACTGAATGTAGATTCTACCGTTTTTTGATGATATTCGATATTATATAATCTGTTAAAAAGCGCAGTTTTTCGAAAAGGCGGCGATGAAATGTGAACAGAATAAAAATCTAAATTTCGTATGATATCCCTTCAACTCATTCTCCGAGCTATAAACTTCAATAGTAATTCTGTTCTTCAGTCGAGACTTAGAGGAGAGGGGGGGGGGGGGCAGACTGTCCCTTTTCCCTCTTGAGTTAAGGCTAAGGGACAGTAGACTATCCCTTCTCTTGGCCCCTCGGAGATCCCTCAACAAAAATCTAATCAGGTCCCAAACTCCGGAAAGTTTCAGTAAGCGAGGGTGTGCACTTCCTTAGACAAAGTGATGCATTTAGTCGCGAAAGGATGGGGGGTAACGGGAGAGAAGGGGTGTCTGACAATTAAAGAGCAAGGGGAAGGGGGCGGGATGGGATGAGGGGGCGGAGGCCCGATGTTTAGATGTATATTGGGTCAGGTTCTTCTTGATATAGTTGTGTCTGTCATTTTCGTATGGACTCTTCAATGATTTAAAAATGCATAATCATAATATTTCCAAATTGGGGGCAACATCGAACTTGTTAATTCGAAAAGCTGAAGAAATAAAAAATCATCGCCAAAAGGGCCGGTTTGTGACAGCGTTTATAAAATGGTAGAATTGAACATTTTTTGCTTGTCAACCAGCTTATATAATTATATGCCTGTATTGAAACTCGTGATGCACGCACACAATAAAAGAGGGTCCGGATCTCCGTTACACACCCCCCCCCCCCCCTCCTTGAACCGCCCCTGTGTATCGTTTATCTTCACAAGACACCAAGGCCAAGGAGAAATGTTCAGGAAGAG